CTATTAAATGATGTTTTTCATGATTTCTCTAAGGGTGACTAATTTTTTGTCCGGTGTGCTTATAGTATTGTATATTTTCAAAATCAATTAAGTATCACTGGCGACAATAACAGTTTGAAGAATTTTTTGCTTTTCTCGTAAATAAATTCGTACTATTTCGTCATTAGTTTGGCTTTTTACTGCGTAACTTTTTTGAATTCTAATAACTGTTGATTTTGAATTATTTAGTTTTATAGAACAACTTTTTCAAGCATAACTATAAACAAATAAACATGTAGTTTTAATTTACTTTAAAATACTAATTTGTTGAAACAGTTTGCCTATGCTACCACGTTCGCATTAATCGTTGTGTTTACGAGTTCAGAATGAGTCATCATAGAGTTAACATTCTAAAGATATGAAAAGAAACGTAACACAGATTATACCATTGGAGTGGCAAATATTTGAACCATTATAGCTGTTGAACTATAAAAGGCAGCTTTTCGAAACTTTGTTCACCCCACCCCCCTTTAATTTGGGAGTTATAAATCCAAACTTGACGAAAAAAGACGCGTTTCTTCCATAAAAGTACATTTTATAGTAAAATAAATATCTTTCACCAAGGTTGAAGTTTACTGTGATATATATTTTCCGAGATTTCTTTAAGATATTGCCGAAGTACTTTGCTGTATGAAAATCCGACTAATCGCTCAAAAGTTATAAAGGTGATCTGTTTTTTATTTATTGTATTAATTTATTTTGCTTATTTATTAATTTTTTTGTTGACTGTACATCTCATTACTAACAGAATTTTTTAGAGTTAGAAAATTTACGTTGATGCTGGCAAGAATTTCCTTTTTTAAGACATTACTTCGACGTTTAGAGATCTGGTTCATCTAATTCTCAAAAAGATATACTTTTCTTTTTACAAAATATAATTGGATTTTATGATTGGACTTTTTTTATTTTACCACCATTAATATTTTCTAAGAATTGTACTAATCTTGATATAACACTCTCCTGCAGTATTTGCCAATGCAGAAGTTGTAGATTCCTGCAATACTTAAAGTACTATTATAATATCAATTAAGATACAGTACAGCAAGGTTAATACTCCTGTTGGTGTTTGTTTGCTAGAATAGCACTAATTTTTGCATTCTAGCAGAAGTATCATCAACTACGATTAATAATTGCTAGTTCCAGCAGAATTATTAACACTTTATGGTTTGTATTGGCACACTTTACTACTTGTCCAGCGTACATAATCCAGCTTGTGTTGTTTGAAAATGATGCTGGCTTAGCAATAATATGTTTCTTTTTTTGCTATTTATAGCATTATTTTTCTACCATCAGCTGCTTCAAAATTTTTGCTATTGTAACAATATTTTTGACAGTCATACCTATTGTCACGCCTGCCAACTTTTAATCTTTACTAACAAGGGAAGTATGCATCTCTAAAATTCCTGTTAGTACAAAGTTAAGATTAAATTAAAAAGCATTGTTAAAAACCTCTTATATGATACAATTTAGCTGCCAGATCTGGCCCAAGGAAGAAATATTCCCAATTAAACTCTCAGTTCATTTACTTTTAAACTAACAAAAGCTTGTCAGCAGACGTATGGCGTGGTGTTATGATTAGGCTGTTCGCTTTCTGCCTGTTAAGTCTGGGGTTCAATTCCCAGCTGGGTAGTTTGAATTTTACTTCCAATTTTCTTTTCTAAAATGGATGATGACATATTTAAAATCTTTTACACAATTTATAAATTGTTATCTTTAATTTAAATTCATTTCTTTAATAAAATAGAATTAGAAAAGATAATAGATATATTTTAATTAAAATACATAGATTACTTCAAAAAACTTAATTTTTTAATTTTTTGAATAATCCAAAAAAATTACTAAATTTCATTTTAAGTTACATAATTGAAGCAATCGATATATTTTAATTAAGAAGATAAATTAAATATTATATAACAATTAATTTTGTTTGTTTTATTTAATTTTAAAAAAATCATTTTTAATTAAAAGATAATAATTCATAAATTGAATAAAAAATAATAGTTATCAACTATTTTAAGAACAACAAAATTCACTCCTCCCAGATCAGATCTATCAGCCTAACAATCAGCCTAATGGGATCTATCAGCCTAACACACTACGAAACCCAGCTGTCTGGAAGGTTTCTGTTAGTTTAAAAGTAAATGAACTGAAACTTTAATGGGGACTTTTCTTCCTAGGGGAAGATCTGGTGCCTAATTTATATCCTATTCAAAGTACCATGCTCTTTAATTTAAGCTTAACTTTGTTGTAATAACTCATACTCATATGTGTTGGTTATCTTAGCATCAGCCCCGCTAGGGGCTCCAACTAATTCATCTGAGTGGAAATAAATAATAAATCGCCGAAGCGCAACTGAAAGGTGAAAGTTGGGGTTCAGTATCTTTTACTGAGAGAAAATTAAAATGAAGTAGTGAGATTGAACAAACAAGTTTGAGAGAGAGAAGAGGTTTTGTGGCAGACTGCCCTTCGAGGTATTACCCCCGAGCTTCTCAGGTGCACAGTAGCCACATAGCCCCAGGGAAAAGGATAAATACATAATAAATGCGCAAAATTATTTACAAGTATTTACAGCTATTTACAAAATTTACGGGACAAAACTCCGTCGGATAGGAAAAAGGCGGTTGCCGGGCTATGTTTTATGTTGTCTTTGATGAGCTCAAAATCAAAATTTTTAAAGTAATTGCACGTATGACAAGAGAGTGCATCTCTGAAGAAATTTGCACATAGTTCAGCTATGTGCTCTTCTACTTTGTTGATTTTTAACTCTCGTCTTAGATCTTTCATTCTCATGGATCTGGGGGCTCCTGTGATATATCTGAGGAATTTATTTTGAGTAATCTCCAGTTTCTTTTTTTGACTAACAGTGGTTGTGCTCCATTGTTGAAATAAGAATTTCCAAGACGCTTATTTGCCTTGTTAGATGCTTTTCTCCAGTGGTAGTAAAATAAAAATTGAATTACAATATTAAACTGAAATATATATTTTTTTGTTCAGAGTTAAAAAAAACGTATAATTACCGTGCAGAAATATGCAGTCTATTTGCAGTTTGTATCAAATTAAATTTAGAAATCCCAGAAATAAACCAGAAGCATGAATTTCCGACAACTTTAATCGTAAAAATAAAATTTTACGCTTAATGCGTAAAAATTGGCAGTAATTCAAATCTCCTATCTATATTTTGAAACTTTATCGTATTATCAAATCTTATGTATTTGTTTTTATTATTTATGCTTCGTGGTGAATATATCGTTGCAAATAAACTTAATTTTGTGAAAAATGAAATAGCAAAGATTAACATTGTCTACCCCTTATGACCTTCAACATTAGAAGTTTGAGTGATATACAATTTCCAATTGTATGGAATGAAAGCAGAACTCTTTAAAGATAACTGAACATTTAAAAAACTTTTATTAGAATTTAAGAGCAGAAAAAATCATTTAACGGATCCTAAACATATATCTTTAAATCATGCATTTCAACTTTAAATTAAATTATTGAATACACTGAAAAATTAGCAGGCTATCTATTTTAACATATTATATGTTATAAGATAGGCCAAGGGGTTAAGTTTTAGTTAGTCTGATTCCATTAAGTTTCATAGTATCCCCTTTATTTACATTGAAGAGAACAAGTTGCAAACATATCTGATCAGAAATCTTAAAGTCAGATTAAAGTGGGGAACAAATTCTTTGTCGCATTTATACGAGTATTTGATCTCACCTAATTCGGGAGTGGAGATTTCAAATATGGAATAATATTTGTTAATAAGCTTTTTTTGATATGATATTTTTATTTCATTTTTTGTCTGAATGCACAAGTTCATAAAAACGCATAAGTTTATATACATACTTATAAACGTGTCACATTTTTTGAAAATAACATTTAAGACATGAAACAAAGGACTAGAGCGTATTGCATCATAAACTAAAATGCATAAATGCCCTTTCCTACTACACTCCTACGTAGCGGAGAAGTGGGATCACTTTCTATTCACTCGAGTGAAATTCAAAAAATCCTGGTAATTTTTTTTAAATTGCATAAAAACTGCAGCTTTTAGAGAGAAAATGATTGCAGATTTGAAATCGATGACGCGTAGACATTTAATATCAGTTCAAAGATATCCTGCAACAGAAAAAAAATCATTCCCCAGAATGTTATGTAACCTAAATATTATTTGTCTCTTTTAAAATACCTCATTTTGCATTAAGTGTTTAGAAGAGGGGAAAAATATGATATGAAAATATGATTTTGGAGCAAAAACATTTATTCACATTCCTCTATTTAATACAGAAGACTTGAACCCTCCTCAACAGAATATGTTTAATTGTTTTAAAGAAATATTTATTTCAAACCTATCACGAATGTAAAATAACATTGTATACAATAGGATTAATGATCAGTATCTTTGTTATATAATCTATGTACAGTTGCCAACATTGATGATTTTGTCAAGCGTCTTTCAACTAATATTATTGTCAAAAAACATAAAAATGTAAATCAACTATGTAAAATAAAAATTCCTTCAAAAATAAAAATTGTAAAAATTACATTTTACAATTCAGCTGACAGTGGAAGAGCGCCACAAAGCTCAATAAATGAAATACCGAGTAAAAAAAAATTCGATTAAATAACTGAGTCGTTATTTTGAAAAGTGTAATAAGTTCATTTGGGGCTAAAAAGTCGATTGTTTATTTACTTTTTTACGATTTTAATAATTATTGTTGTATTTTGATGTTTCCTCAAATTAACATTATAATCTTTTCAGCCCCGCCAGGTCATATATGTCCCACACACGGAAATACCATTGGGACATATTTGACCCATCTAAAAAATCTGGTGGGACTCATGTATCCCAGCCCATCTCTGAATCAACTTCTAGCACAATACTGATGTATTTTTCTTCTTTGAACTATTGAAATCGTAAAATGATTTTTGATTAACAAAGATTAAACTAGACATGATAGGGTTTAAAACACCACCCAATTTTATTAACATTTGTTAATATTAGGTTCATTCAATCAAAAACCCTTATGATCATCAGACTTATAATTTTTTTTCAAAATTTATCTTTCAATATTACAATAAATAATTTTAAAAAAATATTTTATAAGTCTTTTTTATTTCCTAAAGTAGTATCCATCTGTGGTCTCCATCCTCCAAATGCTTTTTCAAGCTCAGCAGCAGCTAACATTGTTAGCATATCATTTCCTTTCTTACCAACAACCTGTATTCCCAGAGGCAAACCATGCTTGTCGAATCCCATTGGACACTGAGTTACTGGCAGCCCTAATATATTGAATATACTTACAAAACAAGCACTTCCATAGCTAACAAGTGATTCATTATGGTACGGAGCTGTATGCGGAAGCGTTGGACACAAAAACAGAGAATTATCGTCCAACAATCTTTCAAATTCATTCTCCAATTCCTTGTTCCAATTATCACATTGAGATACAAGATTTATGTTGTCTTTTAAAAGCCATTTTGCGAAACAAGCAGGTATAAGGGAATAAAATGTAAACTGACATTTTCCATATAGCATTTTAATCAGCTCTTGGATTCCATTTAAATTTTTAATTTTTCCGTTTGTTGCAATTGCTAATAAGTTGAAAGCAACACGGCCATAGTAAGAATTTAACACTATTGCATTTGTTTTGTTTATAAGTGGAACTTTGATTTCTTTCACTTTCGTGCCATATTTTGTGTTGCAATGCAATGCCGCCTGTAAGAGAATTTTCAATCTTGTAAGAAAAAAGTTTTAAGTTAAATATTGAATGAAGATACATTAAAAAAATAAACTGTCGACTATGACTAAGATATATCAAAAGTGATGGAAATGTTAACTATGCGTAAAGAAACTAATACAAGGTATAAAATTAATACTACAAGAAAAACATAAATAAGATACTGTAAAAACATATCATAGTATGCCTAACATAATTCAAAACATAACTTAGTGTGCAATATAATTAAATTAAAAATTCGACTTAATCTATTTTTGAAGAACTCATAATCATATTAAGTATTTGATAACAGAATGCTAAACAATGCAACAACAATAAGAGTAATTTCTATTTGCAATAAACGGACGAAGAGTGTCTAAATACGAGTTAAATTAATGTCTTCTATCTAGAAAATCATGTTTCATAACAGATTAAGAAAATTTATGAAATTTTAATAATAGCAATAAAAGACTGATTATTGTTGAAACTGTTCAATAATACACTGGTGTGCAAAACTTAAGCAACAAGTGGTTTTTCGGCCACAGCTCCCCAACAAAGTATAAGATAGCCATGAAATTGCAGTATAATATGCACGTAATTCAGTAGAAAGATTATTTGCATGCAAATTTTAGAAATAAAACGTCGTAGGTGATGTAAGTGTATGTAAACCTTGTGGGTCGGCGCGAGCAGGTCAAAGCTGTAATAAAAGGATGAAGAGCACCGTAATTAAAGACATTCGCTGAAAGTGACTTGTTTTGTGAAACATGTCTTCAAGAAATCATTTAGACGACTTTACTCGAGGAAGAATGATTGGGAAGCTTGAGGAGGGGCGTAGTGTGACCAGTGTCACCGAAGAGTTCGGGATCAGCAAACGTGTTGTTTCTCGTGCTTGGAATGCCTTTAAAACTACTGGTACAGCTGTTCGGAAGGTTGGTGGTGACCGTCGAAGGAAAACAACACCAAGAGATGACCGTTACATTATCCTCCAGGCGAAAAGAAACCGTTTTCAGTCAGCGAGCGCCATATCTCAGCAACTGTGCACAGCCACAGGACGACAGGTATCAAGATTTACAGTGGCCAGACGCATCCACTAAGGTGGCTTATTTGCTAGACGTCCTGAACGCTGCATACCTTTAAAAGTTAACCATCGGCGGCACCGTTTAGAGTGGTGCAGAGAACACGAAACCTGGACACCTCATCAATGGAGTCGCGTCCTCCTCACAGATGAGAGTCGTTTTAGTGCTACACGCGATTCTCAACCTCAGTTGATCTGGAGAGAGATTGGAGCTCGATTTCATCCCAATAACATTGCGGAAAGAGATCCTTAAGGTGGTCCTGGAGTTGTCGTCTGGGGTGGCATTATGTTGAACGGACGGACTGAGCTTCAGATCTTCGACCGAGGTTCTGTAACTGGAGACCGCTACTGCAATGAGGATAAATAAAAGCTTATCAATATCTTAAATCGCGATTCAGTTAATTTTAAGGTAAATAAAAANGATATCACACGAATGGATTGGCCAGCTTACTCTCCAGATCTAAATCCCATAGAGCATGTGTGGGATGCATTAGGGAGACGTCTTGCGACACGACAGTATCCTCCTGGTAACACCCATCAGCTGAAAGATGCGTTAAAGGAGGAATAGAGACGTTTACCCCAAGAGCTCCTGGATAATCTGGTGCTCAGCATGGAGAGACGATGCCAAGCAACAATTACAGTAAGGGGAGAGCATATCTCATACTAGGGAACATCTGTCAGTTGTTCTTCAGGCAATCATGTGTAACACCACTATATGTCAAATAAAGCCTTTTTTTTGTTCCATACCCTACTTTAAGCTTTATATTCATTTCTACGCCATTATTCTTTTACCATCGTTTAAGTACAAATTAACGTACATCATATTCAAATTTCATGTCAATCGGATGATTTCTTGTAGAGTTATGACAAAAAATGCACTTGTTGCTTAAGTTTTGCACACCAGTGTATTATAAATTGTAAATCTAACTTTACATAACAAAATGCATGGCTTGCTATTTGTTTCTAAAATTAAAAAAGGTTAAAAGTAAAAACACACTAGCGATATTATCAAAGTTTAAATCCAACGTGAAAAAAGTTAAATTATCATCGCACTCCTTATCCAGATAATAATCAACCGCCGCAGCTATCTCCTTCAGTCTGATAAAGCTATTAAGTTTATGCTGATAAAAGCACTTGCTGACACTGAAACAAGTAAAATAGTAGGTAACTTTGAATTCAAGGATTTCTGTGTTTGGAAAGTGGATGTAATGAAATGATAACACGGGAATAACAACAATTCAAATTTTAAAGTTCCATTTTGATAAAATTTATCAGTCATTATCGGGTTATCAATTAGAAAAATTCAATAGAATTATAGAAGAAGGATTGATTGATCACGAATTTTCTTTACATTTCTTTATATCTTCAGTTTTTCTCATTTCATTTCTTTAAATCAAAAGAATTACCTATAATTCTCAAAAAAGTATCTGTAATCTATCATTAATAAATAATATCTTTTAAAAGAATTAGTTTTCTCTGCGATTCTTCTGAAATTTCCTAAAGCACGAGTGTTTACAAATTCTTTTATAAAATAATTTTATTTTATTTTATGTTTCAAATATTTTGTACAAAAAAAGAACGCATCTTCAAAGTATTTTATTGCTTACGCTTTAAATATTTCAAAACAGAATATAAATCAGTACAACTTGTTTTTAGTGTAATTTCTCTATTATTAAATTGCAGTTTCGATAAGTACTTCCATTCAAGTAATTTTGAAATATAGTTATCGAAAACATTAATTAAAAATAATAAGCAAATGAAAATTATTTTAGAAATAAGTGTAATTTTACTTACGTTTCGTACTGCTTGATCTATTTCTTTTTCTGTATTAAATACCCAGGCACCATCTATCTTTGTCTGGTAATAAATTTTTAGGATTTTGAAATCAACCTGTAGGTAATATAAATGTGTTATTCGCTTAATATAACTCATTAGTTACAAGAAAGAAGTAAAAGATGAATAAACAAAGCGTAAAATGTTTAGAGCCATATATTTTTATAATGACATCACTAATTTAAAATGAATGAGCAATTAGAGCCCTGCAATCTGCCTGAAGATGAAAGAAATGTAAGAAGCCTTATAATTTAGAATTGTCCTCATAATCATCGATAATTTGCTTAATTTTTATTTTTCTGGAAAATGTCTTTATTTTACATTTAAACTTGACAGACAAGACAAGTGTTTTGCGTTACAAAAAAAATGCAATTGACTGTAACTGATTTGCAATTGATTGCAAAAACTAAGTGATTTTTAATGTTATAACTATAGTTCGAAAAATTATTTTTGCTAATAAGTAGAGCCGTACAATTTAAAGAAGTATCAAGTTTCTATAAACGTGACGCTTTTAACACGTTCACGCCGGGAAAAGTGAAAATACTGGTACGGGAAAAGAGAAAATACTGGTAGAAGAACTATTTCAATATTAGATAATATTCGGGAGGAGTTAATCTATTCTCAACAATAACAATTCACTGTAAGGAAATTTTTCACGGCGAAGAAGCAATTCAATATAAAAATTGCATCCGTTAAAAACAATTGGTAGTTATGGATTTTTATTATTCCCGGAAAAAAACTAAAAAATGAAATTTATTTGTTACCAATTTTTACTCCAGTGCGCCGCCAAGATGAAAAAATCTAGCGTGACCCACCGGTGGGTCACTCCGGCGTGAACGTGTTAAGTTAGTTTTAAATAATAGTTTTATCAAATTCCATTCTCTATACAAAATAAAAATGAATGATTTAAGTCAAAAATGTAAGTAGAAGTATGATTGGAATTTATGTAAAAACATTATTGGCAAGTATGCTTATTAATTTCCTTTTTTATTTTTTGTGCATTGAAAATAAATAATTCCTTTTTACACTTGTATCCCTCATTTTAATTTTTTTCCCAATGCCCACCAGTGTTAACATCCGTCAGTTCAGGCCTTTACTGGGCGATTTCGTTGGCCTCTCTTTCAGGGGCACCATATTAGGCGGGCCAACGTCGCTCCCACAGTAGGGACAGATAGTACAGCGAAGGAAAGAACATCCATGCCTTGCCCGGGATTCAAACCAAGAGACTTTCTGATGCAAGGGCAGTTCCGTAACCCCTACACAGACTGGTCGGCTTCATTTTAATTCTATCCCCGTAAATGTGTGTGATAGTTTTTTCTCCTTCTTTTATTCATTTCACCTACTTCAACTAGTTAACACATTTTTATGATTTCTTGCAAATTTAGATTACACCTCAGTCCGTTAGTCCGGCAGTGGACTGATCGTTAAGAAACGGTTCCCAGCAGATCACCGAAGTCAAGCATCACTGACTGCGGTCAGTGTGCGTTTATGTGACTACTTGGATCAGTCTGCGTAGGGACCGAGGGTGTGCGGTATTGGTCCTCGTTAAACTGTTCTACCGTACAGTCCTCAACTTCAAGTCCAGGTCGTCGGGCTACCGAAGCGGGGGTGCCATCCCCTCTGCAGAGGATCAAAATTGCGATGGCATGTCTTTGGATCATCTTCAGGGATATTTCCCAGACCGTCACCAATAGCCCATTGTGCAGCTCTAGTGCAACGTAAATGAGCTACACCAACAACAACAACAGTCCGTTAATTTTACGATCCTTACATAATTTTTATCACTATTTCTTTATTTTTTACTTTATACTTCTTCCTGATACTCCTGATTGTTTACTTCCTGATCCCTGATTCTCTGCTATTATCTTTTCTATTTCGGGAGAAATTTTATTGGCTAAGACTACTTTCAAAATTGACCCAACGTGAGCGTTATTAATACGGTTTCGGACAGGAGATTTATTTCCATTCATAACAGAAAATAATTGCTCTCACTGATAAGTACTTCCAAACTTGGAAATAATTTCACACGCGAATTTTCGAGTATTTTCAATCCTTGCTAGTAAATATTCGTCAAATTTAGGCACACCCGCTTCAATGAATTTTGCCTTCAAATTTGAGTCGCACTGAATCTCAATCACTTCCATTTGCATATAACTGGGTACTGAGTCTATATTTATTGAGAAAATCGAAGAAAATAAACAAAATTTGTCTTCCAAAGAATTAAAATCTTTATACCTTGTTTCAAATTTCTGTTCTAAGATTTGAAATTTTTTTCTGCGTATTTTTGATACGATGCAGTATCATCTAAACTAGATTTGTTCTTGTTGCACGTTGGGAAGTGCGTTAAATTTTCATTTTTCAGTTGCCTTTCCCAAAGAAATAGTTTACATTTGAATTCTTTTTTAATTATGCTAAACATGTTCGTAATGATCTGATCTTTGCCTTGTAACAATAAATTTAAATCGGATAAGTGTTTGGTTACATCAACCATAAAAGATAAATCTTGCAACCATATTTGATCGGAGGACAAGCTTGTATCTTGATTTATAGTTTGTAAAAACTTACATATTTTTTTTTTCAAATCCCAGAATTGATTGAGAACCTTGGAGCAAGATAACCAACGTAACTCGCTATTATAGGATAAACCTGATTATGTACTATCTAATTGACAGCTTAGTGTGAAACGGACTCCATTTCAGCCAATTCGAATTTTACATTTTCGAGCGGACAATTTTAAATGATCCGTATAGTTTATAATTAAAGTATATTATAATTTTATATGCTGGTTTCGTTTCTAATTCACATTTATATTTTATTTTTACTTTGCTTCGGATATATTGACTGGGCCACAAAAATTTTTCATCTCGGGCTGCATGCGGCCCGCGAGTTTGACACCTCTGCTGTAATTCATAACCATAAATTATTAAAATAATAAACATTATATTTTTCACTTATTTTTTCCTAAATTAATACATTTCCTAAATTTATAGGACTCTATGGACAGCCACAGATAGTGCAGGTCATCCGAAACAATAGATTAAGATGGCTTGGCCATATCTGGAGTGGTCCAGAAAATAATGCAGTTCGAATCGCCACCTTTAAAAATCCTTCGGGATCTCGGGCTAGAGGAAGACCTCCAACTAGATGGCTGGATGACACTGCTAAAGATCTAAAAATATTGGAGATAAGCAACTGGAAATAAGTTGCCATGGACAGGAGGCGTTGGAGGCTACGTGTGGTTTAGGCAGCCAAGGCCTGTAAGGGGCTGTCGTGCTGAAGAAGAAGAAGAATACAAAATAATTAAAAGATTGTGGCAAATATGTTTATTAAAATTTCTGCGTCGAAGGGTTAAGCTTGTGCAAATTCGGAAGCACTCTAAGTACAGACCATATTTCTTCAATTATTACCAAAACTATTACTGAAATTGAAATTCAGTAAATAATATCAATAATATATTTCAGAATAGTTATTTTTATACAACTTAAAAATCTAGGAAAATATATTATTAATGTTGTGGAAAACTTTATAACCTGTAAGACGGGCAAACACTTTATATTACAAGCTTCTTTTTTTTTATGTAATTGCAAAAACAAATGCAAAAACATGCTTATATTCCACGTACTCATTTGTATTTAAAAAACACATTATCTCTTTTGGAAAATTCATTGTTCATTTGCTTTTCAGTATAATCTTCATAGTAATAAGATCTTCAAAAAGTCTGCACATAGGATCAGGTATATGAAGCACCTTTATAATTGGGAAAAATGCCAAAGAGATTCCTTTACTCAGAATCAAATCTAATGCAATATAAAGTTTAGATTATAAAGTATATGGAATGCTTAGGACAAAATAGGGATTACCATATTTCTTTTTACCGAAGTTACATTTTTGCATCCAATTGTCTGTGCTTATGTATATTTTTAAGAATGCTTTAAGAGGGCATCCTTCTGTACTCATTTGATTTTTAAAAAATAATTACCTCTTTTTGAAAATTCATCGTTTTTTCGCTTTTCAGTATGATCTTCATCATAGTAATAAGATCTTCAGAAAATCTACTCATAGGACCAGCAGTGTGTATCTTCTTCAAAATTGGGGGTAAATCCATGGACACTCCTTCCGTTGGAATCAAATCTAATCGAGTAGAAATTTCAGATTATAAATTATATGAAGTGTTTGGGGGCAATATAGTGATAAGCCACATTTTTTTTTATCCAAAAGTTTTTTTTTTGCATTTAATTGTTATTAATATTGTTTTCAAACAGTTACAAGTTCCTAGAATTTCAATTAGATAGTTGCATAAAACACAGAAACATTTTATTCCCTAAATGGAAATCTTCTCTGTTATCACTTCAAAAACTTTCTTTTGAATCCTGTAATGTGGCTTATCTTCTTTTTAATCTAAGACCACGTGATTCCAATTCGAGAATATCATTCATGTTGAATGAGAATATCATCCGACCCAACTGAATTGAGCTGAATAGGTATATGAGGGTGTCTAAGGAAACTAATGGCCCTTTAACCATTCATCTTGGTCTTGATCGATGTGGTGGTGGGCATGTAAATGACTATGTAGAAAATTATGACTATGCAGTTATGTGCAATGTGGTTATAAAACCATAGCATAGTAAATGATATAAAATTAAGTTTTACTTGAAAAAAAGTTCAAGTTTGGCGAAAATACAACTTGTATGATGAAGTGTGATCATGTACAAATTATTGATGCTTAGAATATGATAAATCATCTTAATAGTATGCTATAATTGGCGAAATGTTTTTATCTTTGATTAGATTTACAAATAGGAAGATTTCGTTTAAGTTGGCTGCTGAGTAAGATGTGGCTTTTTCCTAAAATTTTATACTTAATTTGGCTATGTGCATTGCATTTATTTTGACGTCATGGTGTAAAGTATCATTCCTTGTGAACCATCTAGCTTTTGTTATTTTGGCAGATTATTAATTTGTTTAGCTGAGTTTGGATTACATTCGTTTAGACTAATAAAGCATATGTAAGTATAAGGCGGATCATAGATAAATAGAGCAATCATTTGAGCTTAACTGCCATACTTGATTGAAAGGGCAAGCTGTCTGTAGGAAAAAATTTATTCATACAAAGATGGAAAAGAGCAAAAACTGGTAAAAAAAACCATTTTATTATAGCTTTTTCTCAAGAAGATTAAAACATACATGCCAACGAAGAAGTTTTTCAGTTATAATAAATAGGGTTGTTTTTTTTACCAGAGTAAAAACCAATAGTGATGTATAAGTTATAATTCTAGTCTTAGTGTTTTGATTTTATTGGGCACCTGGGTCGCAAAGCGACACCTATCCCATTCATCTGGAATTTTAACAGTGTTTTGGTTGAGCATTGAGGTAAACAGGAAGTGGAGTTGCTTTTATGAATGTTTCAAGCACTTTGCTTGAATAACTAAAAAGGAATAAAAAATTAAAAGGAGCAGCTTGCTCTATAATTGTGTTTGTTTGATTTTGGAGTTGTTCAGTATTGTATCAGCATGAGTAAACGTTATTTTCTGAAAGGTTGATGAAATTATTTGTTTTGATAGTTATGATATGAGGCGTCGGAGGTGAAATGTGCAGCTATTGGTCTGTAGTTTTTATCTTTGATATAATTGTCAAATTTAAAAATTTCATTAAAATTTGCTGTTTTACATTCTATGGCTTTATCGAAAAGATCTGCGTTTAGCTTGTATATATGCTGTGATAGAGTTGGTACTTTGAGGTCTGTATGTATATTGGCATTCCGGATGAACCATCTTGTACTGGTTATTTTTTTAAGGATCTTGTTTTGGCACTGGTTTAATTTCTTCGGTAGATGTTGAGGTATCGTTGTCCTGGCAGGTGAGGCATAGGTGAGTACTGGGCGGCTCATTGCTGTATATTGTAGCTTCTTCAGTTTAAGTGGTATATTCTGATTATATATTAATGGTTGTATGGCTATTATTGCTGCATTTGCTTTATCTATTGTGCTTTTGATGTGATCATTCCAGGTGAGTTTGCTATTGATTATAAGGCCAAGATAATTTGCTTTTTTAACTATTGGTATTGGTATGTTGAACATTTTTGGTTGAAGTTGTGGAAGTATTTTAATTCTTCTTTTTTGTATAATTAATATTTGTGATTTTCCAGCGTTTACTGCAGTTTTCCATTTTAAGTACCAGTCTTCTATTTTTATAATTCAGAATATTAAGACCTTATTCAGGATTCCCACTATCTTTTAAAGTGAGATAAATCTCTTCAGCTACAAATAAATTTTTAATTTAATCTTTTGTACTCGCGCTTCTTTTCGCAGTTAACAATCAGGAGACAGTTTACAAGACAAAGGCCAGGTGACAGTTTTTGTACCCTCTTTTCACTAAATTGCTAATTACTTTGTCAGAGATGCCAACTTGCTCCGGTCAGCAAATAAATACTTTAAAGTGGTAGTTTATCAATTGTGATTCTTGGTTTATTAAATTCAATTTAGTAGATTTTTATCCACCACTATTTCCAAATAATTCGTAAGCTTATACAATTCACCACTTTATAATACATATGTCAAGCTATACCTTTTAAAAAGCAACCAAAAATAGTCAAATATTTGCAAAATTTGCTTTGTAGTTATTTACCGCTTCTTTAATTATTTTGGCGTGTCCGGAGCAATTGGCATCTCTGTCTTATAACCGTCGTTGAACTGCTGACCTAATCTAAGTTTACGATTACTAGGGTTCAATTCCGTTGCCTTGTAACTTTGAACCCATTCCAGAAGACAAGAAAACTCCTGGATCAAGTATTGAGAGCAACTTGCCTTCATTGAGAAATTTTTGATGGAACTAACGCGCATTTGCGTTACATGGTGAAGAAAATGACGAAAACCTTCCCCCGTTAATACTCTAACTCATTATCCTTCTACCACTGAGTATATTGTACTTCAGCAATGAAGTTGCATCTACCTCTCTCAAAGGGCCGTAAGGCCTCAGAAGCACAGTTCAACTACAACGAGCGAACGATCAGACGGGAAGCATGCTCTCAATCATCCTTGCCACCACGGCTCTACAATTAACACATAACTCCTGGAGACCATCAAATAAAGTGGTTGCTAAAAATTAAAGTAGAGAAATTTAAACATCCAGAATGGTTGATAATTTATGGTGTAAAGAGGAGCCGTCGACTGCAAAGTGATGAAGGAAAGATAAATAGGCGCAAAAAATATACAGGGCTGCCAACTTTATCCGATTTCTGTAAAAATTTATACTAGTGGCAGCTAAATTAAAATGCATTATTTTTTGTTCATTTAAACTAATTTCCCCTACTACCACACATAAATAATTTTAAAGTTCATATGTAGCGCCACGTCCTGCTCTTTCGTGGTGCAAACCAAAGCTGTTCAATATCCAAACACCGATAGTTAAAAAAGTAAGCTCACCTGGAATGACCATATCATAAATATTAGAGACAACGCAAATGCAGCAACAACAATAATACAACCACTCATCTATACCAGAATGTCTCATTAAAACTAAGAAAACTACTATATACATCAATGATCAGACCAATTCTCACATATGCCTTATTACCTGCCTGAACAACACTACTGGAACATCTCATGAAAAAATTCAACAAATACCAGAACAAGATACTCAGAAAAATCACCCGTGCCAGATGTTTCATTACAAATACAAATATCCACAAAAACCTCAAGATCCCGACCTTGTCACAATATATTTACAAATTAAATGCAGATTTCTATGGCAAGGCCATAAAATGCAATGCAGTAAGCTTCAACCAGTTATTCAATTTTGAAAATTACGAAAAAAGATATAAAATTAAGACCCATAGCTTGCTCCCTTTACATCCGACGCCTCATATCACAATCATCAAAATAAATAACTAATCACAGATCCATCCATAGCATCAGATTAAACAACAATACTGAAAACTCGATCAAGCATTTCCCCACATTGACCGTCAATCTACACATAGTTTTTATACAGTTAGTTCGTTGAACAGCCGACCTAATTTTATGGGTTTACGACTACTAATGCTCAACTCCGTAGCCTTGTAATTTTAAACCCGATCCAGAAGACAAGGAAACTCTTGGATCGAGTATTGGGAGAAATTTGCCTTCGTGAAGGATTTTTGATGGAGCTAACCCGCATTTGCGTCACATGGTGAGGAAGACCACGAGAACCTCCTATGCTTAGCCTGACGACAAGGGGACTCTAACCCATGATCCGTCTACCACTGAGGATATTTTACGTCAGCACTGTGGTCGCTGCAAGTCGGATGTAGAATTCATATTGACTGGGATTCGATCCCGGTTCGCCGCATTGGAAAGGAAGCGCTCTATCCCCTGAGCCATCACGGCTCCTACACATAGTTTTTATTTTATTTTATAACCGTCGTTGAACAGCCGACCCAATTTCATGGGTTTACGAATACTTACGTTCAACTCCGTAGCCTTGTAATTTTGAACCAATCCAGAAGACAAGGAAACTCCTGGATCAGTACCCCCAGAGGTATTGATTTGTTGTGTTCATAGTTTACATAGTTGGGACATAGTTTAAAGCAAGCTGCTTCTTATAATTTTCATTATTATTATTTAATCAAGCAAGGTGCTTGAATTCCGTTAACAGCCACCAAATAGACCGCTAACTAGGACTGGGCGATATTAGAAATTATATATCGTGATATATCGTCAGTTTTGCATCGCGATATAGCGATGTATCGCGATATAGTATTTTTGAATTTCATTTACTTTAAGGCACAGAAAGTCAGATTTCTACCAAGACTTCATACGCATATTGATTTAAATCAATTTATAAATTTGAAAATATATATGTTTTGCTAAAGAAAGATATTAAATAAATTGACTAAGATGTAGAAATCTTACTTAAAATATTTATTGAAAAAATGTGTGTAGATACAGAATGAAATATTTGCACTTCTTTATCGTTTATAAGGTATAAGCAGTCTTAATTTAAGTTCCCCCTAAAATACCCTTAATGAAAAAAAATATTGTTATTAAACAAAAGCTGATTTTAAAATTTCAAAATATATTTTAATTAAAATAAAAGTTAGATTGACTAAAAGCCGAAGTTTAAAATTAAAAATGTTCGAATTTTAAACTAAAAAGTAAACATAAGATTTNACTTGACTTGTGTGCAAACAAACCACAAAAATGAGATGGAATCCTGAGACTGCCGAGAAGATCACTTCCCAATCCGATGACAGACCCAGCAGAGCTTATTAATGCTGCTTCTCCTCCTATATTCAAAGAAAATTTAATGTTTTAGAGGTAAAAGGAAGAATAAAGTCAACCATGACCTAAGCAGTACTAACTAATGTTTTTGGGAAGTGTGCCGCAATCTGGAGAACAAAAACTATGCGGTCAATTTTTCTAACTTGCTAAAATCGCTAAGAAAGGGGAAAAAACGTTATTTATAGGCTTATTTACATAATTAAAAAAGATTAACAAAAAAAAATTGCATTTTTTGGAAGGTAACGTAGTTAAACAGTCTACTTTCATTGAAAAATTATTTTAATTAGGGGTTCGGTGTTAATCTATATAAAAATAAATATAGAGGATACGGAAAAAGTTCTTTGTTTTCCATGAATGTGATTGAGATTATAAGTGCTTAGAACAGCGCCAGTTTCAAGCAATAAGCCATTGAAATAAGCAGTGTTGAAAGAATTGCGCAAGAAGTTTATTTAGCCGAGTGATAATGAGTGATTCGATAACTCAAATACACAATATAAAGAATAATAGTGTGGGTGGAGGAAAATTTGCGGCATTTAAGTAATTGCTGGACCAGGTGAAATTCCGCTGCTTTGATGATAAGTCAACTGCCACTATAACAATTTTCATAGATAAACTTACAATCCTTTATTAACTTCTGCTATTGTTTCTTATCATTATTATTATTTCACAATGTGGCTGGCAAAAGGGAGCACTCTTTCAAAGTTTAAAAATGTAGCAATGCATTCGATGCCTCAAATAGTTTAGGCGATAAAATATAGTTCTACTGCAGAACTCTTATGGCCAATTTGATGATTGAAGAAATAGATATAAAGATTTACTTTCTGGAAAGATATTTGTTCTGAGTTAGATTTGCTCTGATGATTTCTTTTTGAAAGAGAATTTTGTATTTCCAAGGAAACCACAAAAAGTTTGTTAAAGTTAGCAAAGGACCTATTATCGAGCTAGTAATAATAGTGCAATTGTATTTCCTAGGATGCAAAATATTTCACCATATCTAACATTAAATCCTAATATCAAACGGAACTTTTTTATATAGATTTTCAGGTGATTATATCGAATAGGCAATTTATTTTAAGACCAATGGATTGCTTAAGTTAATTCTAAAAAAATGTTGCCTAACAGGAAGAAAGAGTTACCTGAGCTGCCTCCGCACGTCCTGGTTACATCGTAAGGGTTGCATGTTCTCCCATAAAGTTTGTTATCTGTTTCCATCGAGGAACAAAATTCCGGAGCGTTGGTTAAAGCTAGAAAAATCCCACCAGCATCTTTTATAATACTCACTATCGGTGCATCTGTTTCAGCTATTCTGTCTTTAAAAATCAAACTGCCTGCAGATTCTTTAAAACCTAAATAGTTTATTAATCTAATCACTATAGGGATTCATAAAAAAATACTTAATTAGTTGCCGAGTATTTACATGTACTGTCAAAAAAGCTATCAACAAACATTTTAAGATTCAATATATCCCATAGAAACTTAAATTATAAGAAATATATTTAGAAATGAAATTTCAAATCACAGATATAAAAATATCGCTTTTGGAAACTTCATAATCATTGCTGAAACTCCTTTATTTAACTTCATTTTATAACCATTGCATTTAAAAAAAGTGCACAAATGTTCCCTGTATCTTAAAGAAATTTGTTTTCCTAGTGATTGCTGCTGTGGTTGAAAAATTTGGTATAGTGGCACATTTATTTTAAAGATTGTCAGTTCATGAAGTAGGGATACTACAGAGATATTTCAAACAAATATTTTTGACTTTATTGGAAAGCCTTTTTATAGTTGAGGAAAACTAATATGGCCATGCTTGAAAACATTTTAAATCGACGTAAAATATTAAACAGCATCTCTTTTTGGAGATACGAAATGAGTTTCTTAGACAACCATTACGCGTATTTTTGTAACACTAATTAATGGTCGGACGGAGATGCCATCGAACATCCAGAAACCATCCAGTTTTAACGCGAAGTTCAATTTTTTAGTGAATGTATAGTTGCTAATGGACACTTAAAAGCATAGGACGAAATCCACAGTTGGTGAGTTATCGATATATAATAAAGCCAAAATTAAAGTCAATCCCGCATTATTAATGTCAAATTTTAAATAATTTGGCTATGCGTAAAACATCAAAAAGATCGTTAGAATATTTTTGCAGTTACAAAAAAAACAGCTTATAAAAGAATTAAGTAAAAAATAGATTTCGATTTTCAATTTAGTTGCGACAGTGAATTTATGAGTGATACACTTTCATTGAATTAAAAAGTAAGCCGTTACATTGATTGTTTAGAGAAGAACAAAAGTATTTACATTCCGTTTATATTCCTTTTTTTTTTTATAAAAAGTGATAAATATTAAATAATTGATTTAATTTAATAATAACAGAATTAAGAATGGCTTAAAAATTAAATTTATGAAATTAAATAAATTTTAAAAGCTAGGAAAAACAAAATACCTGTAATGGCCTAAAAGCAGCAATCTATTTTGTGTACTTATGCATGTAAGCGTTGCCATTGCACATTAAAGACACTTGTTTTTCAAATCATTGTAGTAAACCGTTAATCAAACTAGGTATAACAAATTAGTTTAACCTTGCAGAATTAAGCCGAATGATAACAGAATTAAGATGGACTTAAAAATTAAATTTATGAAATTAAAGAAATTTTAAAAGTTAGGAAAAACGAAATACCTGTAATGGCCTAAAAGCAGCAATCTATTTTGTGTACTTATTCTTATAAACATTGCCATTGCACATTAAAGACACTAGTTTTTCAAATCATTGTAGTAAACTGTTAATCAAATTCAGTATAACAAATTAGTTTACCCCAATGTATAAAATAACAGTCATAAATACTGAAAGAAAACACAACTAATTAAATTCGAAAAGGATAAAACTTCTTTGAAAAAAACGCGCTAAGAAGCAGCAGAAATTTCAGAAAAAAGTATCAATACAAGAAACGAATGAAATAAAAATAAAAATATGACCAGCGAAGCCGACGTCTTCAGGGGGTACCAGCCCCGGTAGCCATTAAAAACAAAACCATTTCTAATTGAGGGAGAAGCAAATGCTTAAAACTTCTCCCTCAGTACCCTGATGGTTTTGTATAGAGGTCTATGAAAAACAAGATACATTCAAAATAATTAACAAATTAAGAAAAGAAAATCAATCAAAATCACCAGAAAAATAAAAACTCAATAAGTCACAGGTCAACTTCAAAAGCAAGTAGAGGAAAAGAATACACTAAAAACTGAAAAACCAACGCCCCCTATTATAATGCGCAGAAGAAGTTTAAAATGAAATGGAAAAGGTCAGAAGAAAGAAATACGTAGACAAATTAATAGAATGCTTAACTGGGGCTGCTCAGTTAAGACAAGAATTGCGCCCTGTTAAAAGAAAAAATATATAAAATCTTCAAAACCATCAATCATTTTCTTAATTAAAAAATTAACATTACAAAAATTAAAAGGAAAATCATTATTACTCAAATTATTTAAAAAATTATCCACAGCTTCCCGAAAACTTTCAACATTATTGCAAATTTTTTTGATCCTAACTAATTGTGAAAAAACAAGATTTTTGAATATTTTACTACACAAATTAGTTTTAAAGTTGCAGAAAAAAATAACATTAAAATTAAAAGCTTTTCTTTTATCAAACACACCAATTTTAATAAAACTGTTAACAATATCAATTTTAAAATCTAAATATTCAATATTAAAACAATTTTCATTAGTTTTTTTCAGGACCAAATCACCAGGATAAAT